ATAATAAACTGGTAATCTACTAAAATGTTTCCCGAGTTCTGCGAGCCAGTAGAGCAAATTAATGGAACGCAGGGAGGTGGGGTCACTGGAACCTCCATCTACAGCCGGTTGGTCAGAAGCACAGGTGACAACCTGGACGTGGGATTGGTGTCCGCTGGGAGACTGGGGTGGGGAGGTCTTGTGGACCAAGCCCTTAAGCTGTGGGATCTACCTGGAGATAGTGTCAGAATTGAGATAACTGGCTTAGTGATGTGGAAAGAGACACATTGGAATTGGTGTCAGAATCGTACCAACCCGTAGGCCTTCCTTTAAAACCCTTGAACTCATTACAGACCTTTCTAGGTGGCCACATTCGTTTTATTTTAAAATTCATTTAGTTCTCTCCCTTTCCCCCTCACTGTGCTCATTAGTGATGTTGGTTAGAATTCTGCCTTTTAAATCTTTCCACTCCTCTTGCATCATCTTTCCTTTAGAACCCTGTTCACAGCATTCTTTTTTTTTTTCCTCTGTACCTCTTGAAATTTGCCTTTCGCACATCTACAGGCTGTAGTGTGGCCATAACACGCAAGAGTAGGTACAGGGCAGCATTCCCCTCTCCCAAGGTTGCTTCCTTTCAGTTCCGACACAAAGTGAGTTGTTTGCTTTTAGCTGCAGGAGACTTCCAGCTGACTTCTGGATAATTAATGATCTCTTCGTCCTCCTAAGCAGTTTGTTACGAGCGACTCTTGCCAGCACATAGCATTTCCACTGGTTTGAGTTCTAAGCCCAATGTAATAACAAGGTGAAGACCATTAAAGGACACTTTCTACACCTGCCACCAGACTGTGGGGTGGGAAGGCATGGCAGGAGGATCTTTAAGGTGAATGTCTGGTTTCACCAGAAGAGGATGAAGAGGCCCAGGCACGGGGAAACAGACCCCACATCCCCGCTGGCTGTGTGAGTCTCCACTGGAGAGACGCAGGACATCCGAATGGAAAGGATGACCTACAGAAGGACGTGGTGCGGATAAGAAGGAGGGATGGATAAAAATGTCTGCAGCCAGAAAAAGGTAATCTAGGAAAATTATGTGTGTTCTATCATCACAAAGTGACAATAACCACAAACAGAAGAACGGCTTAGAGGATGGGACTGTAAAGAAAGGTTTAAAACTGATGGTAAGAGGGGAGTGGTTAAGTAAATTATGATATATCCAGAGAGTAGAATTCCACAGAACTATCAAAAGTGGCCTTATAGGGCTTCCCTGGTGGCGCAGTGGTTGAGAGTCCGCCTGCCGATGCAGGGGACACGGGTTCGTGCCCCGGTCCGGGAAGATCCCACATGCCGCGGAGCGGCTGGGCCCGTGAGCCATGGCCGCTGAGCCTGCGCGTCCGGAGCCTGTGCTCCGCAACGGGAGAGGCCACAACAGTGAGAGGCCTGCGTACCGCAAAAAAAAAAAAAAAGTGGCTTTATAAAATTATGTAAATGAAAACACTGCACAGTTGACTAGGTTTAAAGGCAGGTTACAAAACAGTTTATTCTGTGAGACCCAATTTCTGTTAAAAAGACACACACATACATACCTCTGGTATACTGCTTCCTAAACTTTGATATGTATACAAATCTGCATATTAACCAAATCTAGGGGTCTGGTTAAAATTCAGATTCTGATTCAGTAGGTCTGGAGTGGAGAGGCCTGAAACGCTGCATCTCTAACAAGGTCCTAGGTGCGGTGGCTTCTGCTGGTCCCACTGACCAGCATTAGTAGCAAGGATATACACCAGGGTATTAAGAGTGATGTGTTTCATGGGTGATAAGGCTTTATTTTAGTTTTCTTCTTCCCTTGTATCTATTTTCTAATTAATTTGGGTTAAAGAAGGAAAATTAATGGGCATGTGTTGTTTTTACGTCATGAAAAGACAAAATTCACTTACTTTAAAAAGAGAAAAAAGGTGAAGCAAACCACAAGGTCATGAGAGATATAATAAAACTGTCAGGAGGAGCCTCTATAAAATTCAAGCGAAGGAGGAAACACGCACACCTAAAAAAGGCTGGAGGGGCAAGGGGCAGTGAGGGACATTGCGACAACAAGTCTGTAAGAATTCTGGGGCCATCGGACGAGTGCTATCAGAGGACAGGATTGTTGGAATCTGCGGCATAAAGAGGCATATTTTACATGGAAAGAAAATTAAAACAAGCAGTGATAAGACAGGTGCAGCCCTGCACTGCCTGGTGTGGGCAGCCTTGCCAGGTGCACAGAGGGGTCCAGCTGGGCCCGCACCGCCTCAGGGACTCGGGGACTTGAGAGGAGAGCTTGTCCTGCCGGCTCCAGTTTGAAGGATATTCTCTATGAGGAGCGACGGGTGAAATCTGGGCACCACTAGAAAGCTAATAGGGACTTTTAGAAAGGCAGATCAGAGGTTATGCCTGCAGCCAGAATGTATTAGAGCTGGGTGACTCCCAGAAACGTAGGCGTGAGGGAATCGCGGGGCCACGTGCGTGGCTGGACAGAGCTGGGCTCCCCGTCTCACAGGGCTTGGGCAGCAGAGTGTGTGTCCCCAGAAGCCTGCAGAGAGCAGTGTTTCTTTTCTATAAAAGATCCAGCCTGAGCCAGACCTCCAAGGCGGCCCTTACTGTCTTTGGTGGTGACAGCGGAAGGGACAGGGGTGGGTGGTGAGAGCTCTGCTATTGGGCACAAAACACTGAGTGACAAGCCACAGAATGCACACGGTGTTATCACCATAGGCGGGGATGAAATTCAGGTGCTCCGGTTTCCTTAACCCACACCAGGGCTGATCTGAGACCGCAGAGAAAAGGGCCGTTGGAAGGTGCTATTTATCAGTGACTATTAACTGCTTTGCAACACTGACATTAAGACTGATATCAAAGTCATAAAGTGGTATTCACACCCTCAGAGTTAACCAGAGTCACCCACAAAAGGTGGCCGGGACCTAGCCCTCCAGGCTGGAGTCTGCCCTCTGCTGGACATCATCGTGATGACTTGGATAAAAGGGAGCAAAAAGAAGTCTCAGGAACAGAAAGAAATTCTGCTACTTCCAAGACCCCGACCCCCATAACGCGGAGACACAGGAACGCACAGAACAGTCAGTGGATGTAGTGGTATCTCCTCTCCACATATACAGTAGTTAGTGATCTCTGAAAAGCGAATCACTCACCGCCACTTAGAACAACGCCCTGCAGCTCACTCCCCTTTCCTTCAACCCTTTCTAGGGCTTTTCCCTGTATCCATTTTCACTCTTCCATTTCCTGAGAAATATGAAGCATTTTCTAGTAAAACCTATTTAGGGAGCTGTTTGACTACAAGCAGGTGAGAAGTACTGGCTCATCCTATGAGAGGCCTGTCAGGGCCAAGGGGCCCTGGGAGGACTGGCAGGTGGGCTCTCTCACCCCCTGCTCCCTACCCCGAGATGGTCACATCTCCACGCGCGTCAACTTGTCTCACTCACGCTCTTATAAAACCAGGTACATCTGTGATATTGTGCCATAATAAGAAATATCTAGGGCTTCCGTGGTGGTGCAGTGGTTAAGAATCCGCTTACCAATGCAGGGGACGCGGGTTCGAGCCCTGGTCCGAGAAGATCCCACATGCCGCGGAGCAACTAAGCCTGTGCACCACAACTACTGAGCCTGTGCTCTAGAGCCTGTGAGCCACAACTACTGAGCCCACGTGCCACAACTACTGAAGCCCGCTCCTAGAGCCTGTGCTCCCCAACAAGAGAAGCCACCGCGATGAGAAGCCCACGCACCGCAACGAAGAGTAGCCCCCACTCGCCGCAACTAGAGAAAGCCCGCACACAGCAACGAAGACCCAACGCAGCCAAATAAATAAATTAATTTAAATAAATAAAATCAATAATTAAAAAAAAAGAAATATCTATCTAGTCTTCACCCCCCGCCCCATTTCTGGCATAAGAGCTTTTAAAACACTTGGAATTTCTGACTGATGGGGTGAGAGGAGCACCTCTTGTTAAATAAAGTCATGTCTACTTGTGGTCTAGTAAACTTAGAATATGGACTGTTGGCAGATTCTATGGAATGAGGGACAAAGCTGTCCTAAAATACTGAGTGTTACTATTCCTGCTACATCCTATATCCCAGAATTTCTTTCAATAATTTTGAGGGTGACTGTAATTTCTCAGGTCTCAGTATAAGAAAATGTCAGTGAAAGTGATCTGGAACGAATCCCAACTGCTTCTCTCAAAGAAGTGAATTAACTGTGAAACTTGACATGTGCACAGTCACCGCCACTCAACCCTCTTGTACCCGGGAGCACGGACGTCAGCTAGCAGCAGGGGACCCCCCAGTCTGCATCCAGCCCCGACCCCCGCCCCGATGATACTGGTCTAAATGGCCCCACGTTCTCCTCTGTCCTCTGTCCTCCTCATGGCAGCCCGACTTGATTTTCTTGATCAAACTGCTTTCCTGCTCTAAGACTCTTGCTAGTGCCACAGTGGCTACTGATTAAAACCTAAACTCTCAGACTCCATTGAAAGTCCCAACAGTTTGGTCCCCACATACTCCGCCAACCTAATCCCCCATTCTCCGCCTTCCTCTCTTTCTGTCCTCAGCCACACCCACTTACACACTGTCCCTGAAAACCACAGGCCCAAGCTGCCCCAAGACCTTTGTTTAGGCTGTTCCCTCTCCCTGGATTCCTTCTCCCTCCATACCTGCCAGTCAAAGTCTTCCCAAACCTCCAATTCCATCCCCTCCAAGAAACTACCCAGGAGGCTCTTCTGTTCTCCTTGGGTGTGGTCCCTCCCTCTCTGCCTCAAACCTCATGCCTAATGTACTGATGAACACTCCACAATCAGGCTATTTAGGAAAGCGTTTATCTCCCCTACAAACCTCCAGGCCCTGGAGAGCGCTCTGTTTTCCTCCCAGCACAGGAGTTGGGAAGACAGCAGATGTGAACTGAGGACAAGAGGAGGGGACAGACACCCTGCGTGCCAACAGCCGTGCCAGCCCTGCCCACGCAGAACTCGGGACTTCTGCATACTTACGGTTTCCACAGTTGAGACCACCAAGGCCGAATGGGCAACTGCAAGTCAACAAAGAAAAAGAATAAGAATTAGTTTCAAATATCAAAAGAAATAACTGAGGCAATTTACCTAAGTAACTTCTAAATAAGGTTTGGAACAAATTCATCAGAATAAATGAACACGGAGCCTACCTCATGCAGGTTTCATTTTCAAGCCTATATCCATCTTCACAGGCTGAAAGAGAAAAGGAAAATCCAGGAACGTGTCTATTGACTTCCCTTGGTCCCAACTGACAGTTAATAAAACCAGCCACCCTAAAGTCCACAACAATATTCTAGATCCAGCAGGCTACAAACAGCTTTAGAATTCCCTAAAACCTGGCCTAAATACTGTTGCCAGTTCAACTCAATTCTACCAAAAAAAATTCTTAACCTCTTAGTGAGTCTCAGTTTCCCAGCTATAAAAAAGAGGATAATGATAATATCTGTTTTATAGTTTCTTGGAGGAGATTAAGTAAACTAAGGCATGCAAATGACTTAGCGCAGCACCTAGCGCATAGTAACCACTAACTGTTCGTAGCTGTAATTATTATCCAACATATGCAATTATTTTTGGAAGTTCTCCGTGGTCCCTGTGTAACATCCTTCCGTAAACACAAAGACAAGTGCTTCACCTTCTTTAACGTAAGTCAAACCTTTAACCAGCTGTTGGCTCCATCAACCCCCTTCCATGAGGAAGTGAGAGCTGTGACACCTTCAGAGCCATGGCCCTGGTGGGTGCCTCAGTTTCCATAAGAGAACGCTCACCCCGTGGTCTGTGTAGTGGATTCTAGACATACCTAGATGAGCCCTAATCGGCACATCACCCAAGACCATAGCTTTGAACCCTCTGGCAGTACAGCTCGTGGACCACGGCTTCACTGAAGGCCTGTGGGCCAGCCATTCCCCTGGATCAGCAGTTCCTGAATGGATCTGATCACGGAACATTTTCAGCATTACAATAAGCTGACAGAACACCATGAGCTGTAATGCATGCTTGGATGAAAGCAGACAATAAAAAATCTCCTCTCGGACAAATTCACTGCTGCCAGGAATGATAGGAATTCGATTCGTGATTAATGTATGCCACGCGCTGCATACGAGAATCACAGGTAAGAAAAGGTACAAAGCGTCGAGCAGCGATCTCTGGACAGACAGCACACACGCGGATGGTGAGATGTGAGTGCCAGCAGCACACCTGGGCTCAGAGGCTGCACGCCCTGCAGGCTGGGATGGGAGATCGCTCACAGACCTCCCGCATCCTCCTTGAAGGATCAGTGCATAATAATGTTAACTACGTAGATGTGCTGAACGTTTTTTCCTCCTTCTATTTTTTAGTGTTAGACACTAAATCTTTCTAGTATCTATTTTGTTGTCACAGACGATCGATATATCACTAGAGTTTTGTGGAATGCTTTGGAAAATACTGTTCTAAATAACCTAAATTCTCTCACAGCGGATCATGAGAGCTGTGGGCCTGCACTGCACTGTTTGGCCCCCTGGAATCCCTTTTCCTGAGCTAGGCTCTCTTTATTAAGGGCAATCCATTACTAGCAGCAGCCCCAGGCAAGCCCCTAGGGTATTTATCACAGGCTGTCATGGACCACGTCGCCACAATACCACTCAGTAACCTGGTGATGTGGATGCTCCAGAGAAACTTCTCTTGGGCCCTGGGGCCTAGAAAAATGGGGATGGGCCTAAAGAACTGTACTTTATATGACGGTCGCCACTTCTTTCAAAATCATGTTTCTCTCTGCCTCAGTGTCCAGGAAGCTCAGGACTTGAGTGAGAGGCCTATCTTTAGGAAACATGCGGGAACTTAAGGTATATCTTTCTGCATATTCATTTTCCTTCTAGCCTCAACAAAGTAGTCATTTTATGTCTCCTTCAACCTGATTTACCTTTCAAATTAAATCTCATCTTGTTACAATGAATTTTCATTAGGCACTTCAAATCTTTTTTGCAACAAGGTAGAGCATAATCATTTCCCGCTTCAGGGAAGAGGAATGAGGCCCCTCTCCCAAATCTTTGATACCTTTGAGTTCTCTGAGCTGGCCTTACTCAGCTGGGGCCTTCTCTAAGGAACAAGCTGAGACCTCCTGTCTCCCCGGCGTGGAAAGCGCCATGCCCTGGCAGTCCTTGTGCTATGGCCAGGTCGTGGGAGCAGGAGAAGCTGCCCCTGGATGACCCATGGCTCTGTCTGCAGGGCAGCTACACAGAGACTGCTGGCATCCCAGTGACTCTTCCCCGCCCGTCTCAGCACCGAGGCAGGCTGATGTCACACTAGTCTGTTCTATTCTGAACACTTCTTCCTGGAAATATTTTTACAGCAAATCTACCCACCCAACCCTCATCTGCTGGGTGGGAGCTTTCCACCCTGTGGCTGTCATCCAGCCAGATGTCAGGTCCATCTGTTGTCCTGTCTATGAGCTGACGGGCTGGGCTGTTTTCACTTCGCTTCAGAAGTGGCCTGGCTCCCTGGTGTAATGATATGTCCTTATTTCAGATGGGCTCATTCAGTCATTCATCAAAGACCGAGTGCTACCGTGGGCCTGGCGCTGCTCTAGGGGCTCTTGGAGGGAAACCTTGTCATAAGGCACTCCAGCGCGCCTTAGGATCCAGCTCCGCCTCTCCGTGCTCTAGAGGGACCCTGACCCGCAGAACACTGAAGATGAAATGAACGTGGCAACAGCCAGCATCGACACCCCAAGTGGGCTTCCCCTATTGATATGGAACACAAGCAAATTTGAACCTTCTGGACTTTTAAATAAAAGGCCAGAAGTACATGGTGGAGCCTCCAGGGCTCTTTTGTTCCCTTGCAGGAAGCCAGATCAAGACCTGCCAATCCTGTCCTATCATATATGCTGCCCTACCCTCCAACTGTTCATTCGACAGACATTTACGGAACCCCATAATGTGCAAGCATGTTCTAGAGACGGGCACCCGAGGTATCTGCAGCCTGGTCAGAGAAAGAGACCCGCAAACAGGTGGCTAGAATTCATCAGGATATCTGCATGATGGACGGAAGCTAAGACATCTACAGGAAGGACACCTACTTTAATTTTACATGATGCTTGGAAAGTCTGGTAAAGACATTTTATGGGAGACACTGAGAAGGTGTGTGTGTGCATACAATAAAGAACAATACGCAGTTGCCAATGTACAACTGTTAAGTGCAGAGATTTAGAAAACACACACCCACGTGCCTTTAGCCTCGATTTACACCAGGGACCGACCCCGGATTTGAGGTGTCCGAGAGGGTACTTCTTTTAACTACCCCCGTGCTCCAGCACCAACGGCCAGAAGATGTCACTGTAACCCCTCAGAACCCAGCTGACTGGGCTGTGGTCCAAGGAGCTCCGGGATCCATTCATGGAGCTCTGATGGCCATGGGTGAAAATCTAACCAACAGGATACTGCAGAAGCCAGGCTGCATAGGGCCTCGGCCACAAGCCCAAAAGCTAACCACGGTTTTCTTATGCCGATTCTCCGGTCATTACTTGATAGACATAAGGTTTCCGGTGCCTGTGTCACTGCATCTGGTAAATCCTTGACAGCTCTGCTATTGCTAATGCTAGTCTGTAAGCGACACAATTATAGAACTACTGACTTGGAAAGAGAGGGAAATGACTCATGCCAGTCAGAAGCAAAGGTGGCAGGGCTGCTCCTGAGGCCACCCGAAATTGCAGAGGCACTGCGTACAGAAATGACTGCCCCACGTAGCCACACGGCCGCCAGCACACAGGGACGTCAGCGCACTTCATGTGTGAAGGACGTTACCTTCACGCATGAAGTGGGCTCAGTGCCCCAGTTTCTAAGACGGGCCAGGAGCACTTTGCATGAAACCAGATAAGAGGGAACTAAGAAGCGTCACCTCTGTATCAAAGCGGCAGACTGACAGGGCACTGAGAAGCGCTGTGAGCTTCAGAATCAGGCCTGTTGCCCCACAGAGTTGGGCCCCCTCTTCAAACCCCACCCCAGGGCCTGTGTGCAGAGCTGAGGAGGTGCACTTGCAAAGCACCTAAGTCAGAGGGTCTGAAGCGCAGGATGAGAGCACTGCCCTGAAATGTATTTTTATCCTCTCCTCTAATGGGAAGTCCTGACAGAAATAAGTGGCATGTCACCTTTCCCCAGGACGCCATTTTTACTCAGATTCCAGTACATCTGTCACCAGCAGGCACTGACTGAGCAGGAAAACTGGGCCATACACGTTCTCATGTGATGCGAGACCTAAGGCTACGTGATGCCTTTATGTTGCTAGTTTTCCTGTGATCACGAATTGCAGCAGGGTTTCGTAAGGCAGGGTACCCAGTGCTCTGGACTTGAATTCATTTTATTTTAAAGCAGTATTCTTGCACTGCGCGCACTGACCAGCCTTCGTCTCAAACTGGATGAAGTTAATCCTCACCTAAGAGATTAGCAGAATTAGGTTTCTGCCTTGAAACCCTTAAAACCAGAACTCATTGGTTCAACAACAACCTGGGTAAAATACAAGAGCAAAGGCTGATGGCTTACAAAGTACCTCCGTAACCACTGCCCTCTTTAATTCTTAGAATATCCAACGAAGTATCACTGCACCCATTTCAGAGAAGAGGAAACTCAAGCTCAGAGAAGCAAAGTGACTTGCCCGAGATGATACAGGACGGGCAGGCAGAGTGGGACTCTGACTCAGGTCTCCCGGGCTGCCAGCTACCACTAAAAGGTACAGCCCTGCTTCCGTGCTGGTATTTTCATTTTAAAAGATTAGCAGACAATAGAATAAAGCTTTGGGAATTAAAACAGTAATTTTTCTAATTTCCTCTAATTAGGAGGGAAAAAAAAAAAAAAGGCCTGGCCACCCCAGGCATTCCATTCTCTTTTCTTTTCCTTTGAATCTGGTTGGCCAGACCAGTGTGCACCAGTCAGAGATAATGCTATTATTCCAGGGAGATAACGTATTCAACTCTGCTGGGAGCCAAATAACTAGAACCAGTTACCCCCAGATTAGAACAGTCACCCCTAGAGCAGAGACACTGCCCCAGGCAGAGGAAAGCACCTCCCCCACCCCCTGGGCCACAGAACCCCAGACCCGCCGGTACCTCGGCAGGAGTGGTCCATCTTGTTGAACTGGAAGTAGCCAGACTTGCACTGGCACAGCGCGACCCCGTCCAGATCGGTGCAGATGGAGGTCTCTTTGTCACATTCTGGAGTCTTCCGCTTGCACAAGCTGCCCGCTAGAATGGAAAAACAAGCCAGTGAAACAGAACAAAACCTCCTCCACGTCGAACATTAAGATGCGTGAACTTCCTGTTTCAAGAAGCTCAGAGAACACTTTCCAAAAGAGCCTGCGTGGCGCGCCGCTCCTCTCAGAGGGCACTTCTGCACTGCCTTCTGCCGCTCCTCCCCCGAGTCGGCCCCCGGGTCTGTTAGTGAAAGTTCACGGGGCAGAAAACAAACCCAGAAGAAACGGGGTGCCGTCGCCAGCTCCAGCGTCCCCCGCAAACACAACCCTCGACGGGTGGGATCCTCTGCACCTTCACGCTCTAGGGCTGCAGGGGAGAATCGGCACAAGCCCGGAACGTGTGACCCGCTCCCTTAGGAAGAAGGCCTGTCTCGGCTAAGGTGTGTCCCGGCTCTGTGTCTGTCTGGCCTAAAGGGACGCAGCGCCTGCTGTGGCGGGTAGCCTGCTGCCTAGCAGACTGATTCCGAGGAGAGGTGTGGAAGGTAAGCCGGGCTGTATGTGCTCTGTCACTGTCCGCCTGCCCGCTGTACGGATGCCCGCCTGGGGCTTGCTGGGCTCTGGGTCGTCAGCTCCTGGCCATGTGGGCCAGGCTCATTTCAGGGACGACAAAGAACTCTTTCATGATTATCCGAAAGCATTCATTGCTGGGCATGTGGCCGTGAGGTTGTACACAGTGAGCCCTCTCTGAGTTTGTATACAGTGGGCTTTCTTTGAGGTTACGTACAGCAGACCCTCTCTGAAGTTGTAAACAGTGAACCCTCTCTCAGGTTGTATACAGCACGCCCTCTCTGAGGCTGTATGCAGTAGACACGACGAGGGTGCTTTTTACCATCTAAGGTAGGTCTAACAAAAAAACATACGTAATTGGGGTATACAGACAACAGAACAAAAATATGAAATCACTTGGATAGTGGACGGTAACTTATTTACACTATGTACAGGGTGAGACTGACCTACGCCGCTGTTTTTGGCGGGCGTGAGCAAGTTCAGCGTGAGGAGACAGCCGAGGAAGGGCCACGTGTACACTGGGCAGTGAGGTGTGGGCTCCCTTCTCCCACCTTAAGGAAAACACCAACCGATTCAGAAACCAGCTGCCAGCTCTTAACACAGCACAGCTATACCCCCACCCCACCCCAGGCAGGTTCTGGCGACAGGGACCCCGGCATCTGCCTCCTTGTCTGAGTCTCGAGAGCTCGGGGCCAGTGGGTGCCTTGGTCACAGGAGGTTAGTTTAGGACACAACTTCAGCTCTCAGAGCTGAATTTCCTGCCTTTATCAGTGGAAGCTGGCATGCTAAATCAGAACCTATTGGTGTGTGTGATACAATTTCCTTTGTTTATTGTGAAAGGTCTGTATTTAAGGGAGAAAAATGAAAAATGGAAAATCTCACCAGGCAAACACGGTGAAGTTGGCACAGAGGGGCACTAAACGGCCACAATCTCTCATCTAAAGCCTTAATATAAAGAAATATCTCCAGCACAGAAGGCCGTCCAGGCTGGTACTAGTTGGTGCAGCAGCCAGCCTGAGTTGCCTGGCCTGATTAGATATTTTCTGGAAGCCAATATCACGTTTTCCCTCCACCCTGCCCACGAATCCCGCCTGTTGGCAAATACTGCTCGCCCTGCTGAAGCAACTCTTCCCGGCACAGAAGCAGATTCACTTGAAGCCAGGGAAAGCTGGCCCTGCCTTTGCGATGGAGGGGTTGCTATCCTCAAAACTCTTAAAGAATATTCTGTCATCAGTCCATCCAACGGAACCACGTAGAATGCCGTTTTCGTTTTCAGCCTGGCGATGTGATTTTTCTGCATCTACAATTCCCATGCTCCTTCCTGCGCATACCATCCGCCAAACAGACAATGAGAATTTATGTGAATCTAAGGCTGGGACGCTTCCTGGGGGATTTCCAAGGACTCTAAACCTCTGGAGAGATGAGAGCTACAGTTCTTTGAAAGGCGAGGAAGTAGATGTTTTGTGAATTGAAAGGGAAGAAACTGCCCTTGCAAGGGCAGCGGCCGGAGTGGCCCGGTGCCTCCCACGTGTCGGGAACACCCAGATGTCAGAAGCTGACAGCTCCCCCTTGTCCAGCCCGCCTCTCTAGCACTCAGACAGGTGAGTGAGGGACCAAGCAGTGTGCTGGCAAAACCTGGAGAAGCCCTGGGAGGGAAAACAGAGAGGTGAGGCTGTTTTCAGCCAAGATGCATGGCCGTCTTTGTTCTCAGGGGCTTGGAAAGCAGAGGCAAAGAATGGGCACCAGTACATGTGGAGGCAGGAAGTCTGTGGGAAATCTCTGTACCTGCCTCTTAATTTTGCTGTGAACCTAACTCTGCTCTAGAAAAAAGTCTTAAAAAAAAAAAAAAAAGCGACCTTGGCAAGGAAGACATGAGCTTTCCTGTAAGCTACATCTGAGCAGTTGGAAGAATGGGGGCCAGAGAGTGGGCAGGACTGCCACGGGCATGGCCCTTACAAATCCAAATATCTTGCCACTTGATTTGCAAAACATGAAATACGTTTACTAAGGACAAAAAAAGTAACCTAATACAATGCTGACCACGTAGCATGTATTCCACACGTGTTTAGTGAACTGCAAGGTCCCCTTCCTACTTTCTGGGGAGGAAAAATTGGAACCTTTAAATCACTGGCAAGAGAAAGAAACTAAAATCAAAGCAGAGTACCGTGTGATGGGGCAGGAACTTTTTAACCAATTCCCCAATGAAGCTGAATGATAGCAACTTCAACTCCAGAATGCTTAGCTCTTTTTTTTTTTTTTTTTTCAAGTGAATAGCCCTTAAATGGGCAAAGCTCTAGCATTTATCCCTGAGCAAAAGGTTAACTGCCAGGTCTGTAATGCACAGTCCATAAGGAGGGCTCTCCAGACCTGCTCTTACAAAGCTCTGGCTCATCGGGAACGTCCTGGATCTCCAGCAGGCAGAGCACCAAACCTGCTACCTACAACTTAGTCTAGCATCTGGGCACCAGATGGGGAGCTTCCCTCCGACTCTGCATCCCTCACCAGTCCTATGTGTAGTAAAATGAGCGAACCAGAGCCAGCTCTGACCACTTATGAGACACAGCAGGGGCAAGCCCCCCTGCATGAGGAAGCATTTTTGATTCCAGCAGAGTTTTCCCATCCCAGAGGCGAAACCTCCCCTCCAAGACCCGAATTTGCCTTCCAAACTTGTTTCTGATCCCTTTCTTCAGCTGCCTCACATCAGATGCACTGTAGCAGCTTTCAACAAAAACAGATAAAGAACAAGAAAAGAGAAATCATGGACGGTGAGCAGTTTGCCCTCTAATCTTCTAGTCTTGTTTCTGTGCAAATAGAATTTGCAAACAAATACACAGAAAGACGGGTGATTCTGTACATGCTTTTTTTTTTAACCTAATGGTATGTCAAGATGAAGGTCTGGAGTCATTGACAAGCATGTACATTCTGTGTGTGACTTTCTATCTCCCCAGAGAGAAGAGGAACCTTTCAAGGGAAAGAAGAGTGCTTTTTGCTCCATTACATCAGCTCCTACATCCCTTCCAATACTAATGCTGGATAGAAGAAATAGAAACAGTATGCCAAGGACTGGGGGCCTTCAAGGCTGGGTGTACAGGACTCTGTGTGTGTGTGTGTGTGTGTGTGTGTGTGTGTGCGCGTGCGCGTATGTATGTGTGTGTGTCTGTGCATGTGTACACAAAGATGCAGAAAGGCCTTGTGCTTAACGCCCATTTCAGGCTGGTTCTGTGACAAGTTTCTTGGACCTGAGCCCTGAATGCCTTACACGTCTACCCTCGGTCTGTGCCTAACTGAATGGGCGGGGTCCTCGCAGAGGGCCTCTTACCTCTAAAGATCCGCCTCTGAGAACCCAAGAGCTGGCAGACCTCAGCAGAGGCCCTGCAGGAGTTGACACATTTCTGCATCCCATCGGCCAGGTCAAACAGCGTCACGTTGGAGGCCAGGGAAAAGGTGGTTTGCAGTGACATCACCACCGCACTGGGCTCCCTACAGGCAAAATATGTAGGTTTTAATTGTCCTAAAATGACATGTGGGCCCCAGGGCTTTTGGAAAATGAGTGTCCTCCCCATTCTCCAGTGATGGCCTGGGAGAGCATGAAGTTCCAGTGACCTTGGCCCTGGATCACCCTATGGCCCGATCAAAACAAGGCCCAGTTTTGTTGCCATCACCCATGTTAGAACATCCTCCCCTTTCTATAGACTGGTTCACAAACGAATATAATCCTGTTACTTACCTAGAAGCATGAGCTGTGGATCGGGTATAACCAGGTAATGTTGAAAAACACACATTTAACTGAAAGGAAGAACAGGTTTATCGTTAACTGTGAGTCAGACAAAAGCCTTAAACCTAGAACGAATTTCCTATTTTCAGGATCAAATAGGCGTTTTCCAGCCATCAAGTTGTCAGCAGGCGGCCTTACGCAGGAGTGGTGTCTTTTTTGCTCCTTTCTTAAATGCCTTTCTGCTCTTATTCTGTTGTTCCATGAGTACAAAGGGAGAGAGGCAGAGAGTAAATCAGTGGGGAAAATCTGGGCAGGAAATGATGTTCAGAACAGCACCCTTGGATGCAAACATCTTCAAAGGAGCAGATCTCTTCTAAGACCCAGGGTTTCAAAAACCTCAGAGGCAACTGTTTATTTGGACTTTGCATAGCGAACAAGCCTCACTGAAAAGGCTGGGTGCCTTTCAGCTACCCCAGGTCTGGCAGGCCTGACACAGACCCCTCATAATCTACAATGAGTTGACCTAACTCACAGATAGGTCCTCTTCAATAAGGCTCTCCATAGGAAATTACATTACATGGGTCAAGAGCCCTTTTGTAGAGAGCAAATTAAGAGCGACTCTCCCTGTGTTTGCCTTGTGCTCTCAGAAAGAGCAGAAAATCCCTGTGGGGCATGAAGTACCATGCCTGCTTCTCCACTCCCCCCCCCACCCCCACCGACAGTAGGGGCTGGGGATTCCTTTCATGCAGCAGAGGGTCTCAATACCTTGACCAATGCAACCCACCTGTCTTCAAAGCCTGTGTGTCAGACACATCTCATCCTTCACAAGATGGATTCAAAACACGGGATGCTATCAAACCCTTTTTTGGCTTTGTATGACATGACTTTATATTCACAAGGTAACGATTTATTATTATTATTACTTCAACTTTTTTCCCCAGGAAAAAACAGAAATAGCACATTTCAGAACAGAACGGCACCTTGGGAAAGACTACTTGAGTCATAGCCTAAATCATCTCTAGTCATAGCCAAATCTTCACTATATCTTGGGGGTGGGGATGTCACATCACTAATAAATTATATGTTGATACTGGGTAAAAATGAGCAAATCAGATAAGTCACTGAGCACCGTGTAATGGGAAGGACTGTACCTCTGCACGAGTTTCTCAGCCTCTGTACTATCTTAGAAGGAAATATTGACCTACAACCGAACTAAGAGGCAGCTGTGGTGCAGTGCCAAGAACACCAGGTATAGGGTTAGTAGACGTAAAACCCTGTCATATAGCAAAGAATTCGACCTTACTCAAAGAGAGGTCTGGCCCTTGACTCCTGGGAGGTAATTTCTAAGCCTTTGGAACGTCCTGCCTTTGTTTACCTGGAGACCCTGGGCTGCTCCAGATAATCTAACAGTGTGATTTATGGTGGGGATTGGGGTTACAAAGGGTAACCCAAAGGGTTACCTCTCCAGAGGGGCTGGAGACTGAGGTCAGCCATATGGGCAGTTGACTATCTGTGTTTTGGCTCTAGACACCAAGGCTCAGGTGAGTCTCCCTGGTTGGTGATACTCTATGAATACTGTACACATCATTGCTGAGAGGAGTTAACCCCGTCCATGACCCCATGGGGAGACGACGACCGGAAGCACTGAATTTGAATCCCTCCTGGACTCTGCCCCATGCATCTCTTCCCTTAGCTGACTGTAACCTGGATCTTTTCACTGTAATAAACCGTAACCACGAGTATAACAGCTTTCAGTGAGATCTGTGAGTCCTTCTAGTGCATTATCAAAACTGAGTGTTTCCTGGGGACCCCCAAACTCGCAACTGGTGTCAGAAGTGAGAGTGGTCTCTAACTTTGCACCTGCTCTGTGTAAACTCAGGCAATGTCACTAACTCCCAGAACCTGCCAGTTTTCCCTCTGTAGAAGTGTTGGCAATACCTCTTATAGGAGTGACGCATCTGGTAAAGTGCCTGTCACAGAGTAGATGCTCAGTAGATACAGAAATGGAATTGGAATCTACATTTTACACAAATAAAACCCATGGTCCCATAAAATCCTGTAGGTTTTGGCTAATATACTCTTACCCATAAAGAACAAGTAAAATTAAAATCAGAAATCAATCTCTAAAACTTATTTTAATGGCAAATTTCAATCTTCTGAACACCAAATCTTAGACTACGGTAGCAGCTGAGAGGGAAAATTTACTATCTGAGCTTCATTTCTATCTCTTCTTCTTTCCTCTCCATTTTTCTTTTTTTTCTTTCTTGTCTTTTTCCTGACAAAAAGCAGCCAAGGAGGGAAAGAAGAAGAATCAAAGGCCCCTAGATAATCTACTCAGTGAATTCTCAACCCTGGATAATAGGATTAACTGTTCCACCTTTGGCATTCCCTTGAGAAAAAAGCATCATTCTCTCCAGGTTCCAAAGCACAGACAGAAAAATCACAAAGCATGTCAACAGCAGATGGGACAGTAGGATTTTCTGGGTCTTTCCGCTTCACCAACAGCTCTTATTGGTGCATGTCACCTAAATGTCTGTAACTATGAGTCTGAACATGGAAAAGAAATGCCAAGGCACCAATAAAGGCTGCATGGGAAGACACATTAGAAGAAATGCTTCTGCAGGCATCACTGGTTCTCAACACCTCCCTTCTACTTCCGAGAGGCCTTTAATTTTACCCTAAAGTTCACCTTCCAAATATAATAGAAATGAACAGCCCAGGAGATACAGCTGATCCCCAGGATGTTCCCGATTCTGAATAAAATCTGTTCTAGAAAACAAAGGACTAGCAGGAAGGTGCCTTTTGGGAAACCTACCGTTTTGGTGATCTCATTTTCAACTTCACGAAGGTCTGAATGTTTTTCCACGGTGGCATTAAGAAATATTTTCTTCAATTTAAACTCTGTCACGAAGGTTCTAACTGAAAATGAAAACATAACCTGTTAGACCTCACAAGGTCCACCTACGCATGGCTGAGTGTCTGCAAATCTCAAGGCACCCAACTTTCCTTCACCTCCCAGGATGCTCTCTGTGCATTTCTTTCTCCTGGAGGGTGGAGACCACTCCTCCCTCTTCGGGGCTCCTCTAGCAATGGGAGCACCTACTGAGCTGAGCTGAAGACTCAGTCTGAGCAGACCTTTGGGTGAGAGGCTCCAAAGAGCCTTTTTCATATGTGTGAGGGCTCTGAGAGAGTGAGCTTCCCTCGTCTCTCCAGTGGCCTCCCACATCTTAGATGCTCAGTGACGCTGTAACAGAGAAGAGAGATGAGCTGGTCTAAAGAACACACTTCCAGGAAGAGGGGAGGGAGACGTGGGGTTGGAAAGACAAACGCTCGTGGGCCCCTTTAAAGCTTCGGATGGAGGAAAGCTCTTTCTCTCTAGGTCTTTTACCAAGTTAGCCAGCCCTCCACTTCAAGGGCGTGCTCTGGTTTCCTCTTCTCATGAGAGTCACCTCCATCCATTCCCCATGCCTCTTGCTCAGAGGAAATGCCTGCTCTATCATTGATAAAAGAGGCTTCCAGAAGCCAGGTTACTTCCCAAGATCACCCAGCTCCCAAGGGCCAAAATTAACATTTAACGTCATGTGTGTCCATCTTCCAAGTTCTTCTTTCCCCCTAAACCCCAGCCCCGTGAGGAATCTCATAGTCTAAGGACAACCAAGTGGCTACAGAGAGAGGTGTCAAACATCTGTAACAGGACTCCACTCAGGGGGCTGCCAGACTCCATGACTACAAGCCATACAATGAAAACAACCCATATTCAAGATACTGTTGGGTTCAGACATGAAAGAAAATAGCCCCATTTTCAAGGCCCATTTCACTCATAAAATAAAATTCTAGTTAACATCAATTTGTGCTGATTGGGCCTGAGGGTGACAGAACTTACAAATGGGCAGACAATCAAAAATTAGGACAGGGCTTCCCTGGTGGTGCAGTGGTTGAGAGTCCGCCTGCCGATGCAGGGGACGTGGGTTCATGCCCCGGTCCGGGAAGATCCCACGTGCCGCGGAGCGGCTGGGCCCGTGAGCCATGGCCACTGAGCCTGCGCGTCCGGAGCCTGCGCTCCGCAGCGGGAGAGGCCACAACAGTGAGAGGGCCGTGTACCGCAAAAAAAAAAAAAAAAAAAATTAGGACAGCCTGCTTTATATCTGGCTCTTATCTTCCTTTAGAATAAATTCTTATCTTTCCCTCTGGACCAGAAAAAAATATAAATAAACCCAAACACAGAAACACATGAAGCTGCTCTTTCATAGAAAGCTTGCCTGCTGAATTAAGAAAAAGGCCCACAGATGAGCCAGAGAAAACATTTAACATCTTATACTTACTGTCTAAAGCCCTTAATCCTTATTTAACATCTTTTTGCTTGTTCTACAGTTCAGTGAAGCCAGCTGCTTAGGACTCTTTCTGAGAAGCAGGGAGCTCTTTGAAAACATCCCTGGCCAAATGAAAGAGCGGCAGCGTGCTCTAATTTGCATATTCCACTGGTGTTTATGAACAATGAAGCTAAATGACTTGAAAAGGGAAAGATGATTGTTAACACAATAAGTGGCTCTCCTCCTGATGCACGGTGCCTGTGGGACCCTCCACACACAGGCTTCCAGAACAGTCACCCCACTCCTTCGTCCTCCCATCTCACAGGTCTAGGTCTGTGCCCAGACTCTGTGCAGAAACATACATATGGTAAGCATCAGGTACACAGATCTCTTCTGAACCAGGACAGTAAATGTGGCCTCTGCATCTGTGTGAATACGAATAAGGCACCGCAGTGTCCCCCCAGCCCTGCCCTCTCCCAGACACATTCCCATCTTCACGCTGCGGTTACATCATCTGGCTTTAGGGCGATTTTTAACTGTTGATTTACACAGGTTATCTAAATGATTTTTTAAAGATCCAAAATTATTGCTTTATATTCAAAGTAGTTTATCATTTTCATTGCTTTCAGCTCTGGTCCAAGAGATTAGAAGACTAATGTCAAAGGATACCTCCCATCTGGAGACCCCTACCATTTTCCAAGCTTGCTCAAATATATTATTTATTTGATCTTCATAATAACCCTGAGTGGGAAGCAGAGCAGGTGGTAATCTGATTTTTACAGATGAGGAAATTGATGCTCAGGGGTCAGTGTGCTGTAGGTGCTGGACATGGAGCTGGAAGCCTGGCATTTGAGCCCCTGGCAAGTGTACTTTCCATACTGTTTCAAGATAAAATCATTTCCATCATCTCCATTCTTAAACTGAAAACTCCTTGCTGGTTTCTTACAGGGTGTAGCTAAACGGAATAGGTGACCCAACTGCAAATAATCTATTAGAATACGAGGACTTCTCGACTTTGACTGATGTCTATACTCCCAGATTTTTCTTCCTCAAAAATAACGCTTTGACTTGATCCTTGTATTTTAAACAATTTTCTAAATGCTACCATTATTTTAGTAGGGTACCAACTATTGAAATACATTTCTAGCCCTAAGATGGAGCTGCACCTGCCTGGGGTGCCACGTCAGCAAGTCAAACTTTAGAGTTCCTGTAAACGCTCCCCTTGACCAGTAATGCAGCATATCAGTCAGCCAATCCCCAACAGCAAAGCCAACTCTGGGCTCTATACTTATTTCCTTGTTCCTCGATCTTTCTAAATAAGGTCATATATGCAACCCCAGCCAATCATGCCCTGTGTCCACGTTGCTGCTTCTACGCGCTATGAAACTCACTCTTGCCCAAAGCGGCTCAGAAAGAGTGTTCCTTCCACTGCTTGTGAGAGAGACCCTGTACTTCCCCAGTCCATGGACTGCTTTCCCTTGAGTAAAGGACATCAAACTCATTACCAAATTGTTTTAGTTTTGTTATTTGACGCCACCTTCTTAAAAACTCTGATTATTCCCCTCAGCCTATGGGCAATGCAAGTCATGCAAAGAACACTTTCAAAGGACACAGATATTTGCTCTCTCAAAAACACATTTACTGAGCACTTTCTCCGTGTTGAGTATGACACTGGGCAATATAAGTTGATTCCAAGTTGAGTCACTGTACCCACCAGCTCCCTATCCAGCTTAGATAGCTCTATCTTCCTCACTTGTAATTTCTTCAAGTTCTTCATTGACCTCGGCGCTCTAACACAGATTACACAGCCTGTGCGCAAGAAAGCTCCCAGAGCGAACACAGCACTGTGTGATGGAAGGACTGTGGGCTGCAAACCTGGCGTCTCATCAAGCGGTTGTACAAGCTGGGCCATTTAGTACTTTGTCAGGGCCTTAGTTTTCATTTGGGTTGTTTGCTTTTTAACCTGTAAAATGGAGATTATATCTAAAACCAACCAGCTGCATAAAATATTAAATTCGGGATCAAATGTGACAAATTGTATGATACAATTATGGCAGTAGCTTTGTAAAAACTGTATCTTGTCTGTGGACAAGAACGTGAAGATCTTTTTTAAAAAATTCATTTATTTTTGGCTGAGTTGGGTCTTCGTTGCCGTGCGCAGGCTTCTCATTGCGGTGGCTTCTCTTGTTGCGGAGCACGGGCTCTAGGCACGCGGGCTTCAGTAGTTGTGGCTCGTGGGCTCTAGAGCGCAGGCTAAGTAGTTGTGGCGCACGGGCTTAGTTGCTCCGTGGCCTGTGGGATCTTCCCGGCCCAGGGCTCGAACCCCTGTCCCCAGCACTGGGAGGTGGATTCTTAACCACTGCGCCATCAGGGAAGCCCACGAAGATCGTTTTTAAAAATGAAAAGAATGTGTGAATGTGGTAGGATAATCAGGGTTTTATTCTCTTTTTTCTCTCCCTAAATTTTTTTTTTAACTCTTTGGTTAGAATATTCTTTTGATTTTTTTCCCCCTAACCATAGGGTGGAATGGTTAAGCAAATAGTGTTATGCACAAACGATGGCATATTTATGCAGTCATTACAAAGTTTGTATAATAGTTTTAATAACATGGAAAAATGTTTAAGGTATAAAGTTTGTACAAATACCATATGACTTCAACTATATCAAAATATAACACACACTAAAAAAGACTGCAAATAAGGTGCTACATCTCTGAGTGGTGGAATAATAGGCAGTGTCTTCCACTCCCTTCTATATTCCTTAAAGTTATTCCTTGGGCAAAGATTGATTTTGATTAGGGAGAAAAACAATAAATGTTATTTTGCAAAATACATTGTGGAGCAGAGAAAATTCCAAGACAGACAAACTCTCTTACCCAAATTGCATATCCCTTTTTCCAGCTGGTACCCCACTGGGCATCTGCAGGTGAAGGATCCCTGAGTATTGTTGCACATGGCCAGGGGTGGGCAGGGGTTTGAGAGGCACTCATTCACATCTGCGGAGAAGGGAACACAAGGTCACAGTGAATCTGCAGCAGGCAGCACAATCATCATCCAGTACAAGGGGCACTTCTAAGGGCCAAATGGCACTGGGTGTGATGGGGCCTGGAAACGAGTAGGCACTACCCTTGTTCTCAAGGCGCTACCAGTCTACTGAGGGTGGGGGCAGCCTTGAGTACAACTAACTATAAATATAAGGCAGGATTTGAAAGTAAAGAGAAAGTAATGATTTTGATGGAAGGGAGAATTAAGGACTATTTCAAATAACATCTGGCCTAAGACTGGAAGAATTTTAATCAGCAGATGTGGGTAGGGGGATTCTAGGCTGGGGCACCAGCACAGTGAAGGTCAGGAGCAGGAAAGTGTAGGGGTTTTCAGGGAGTGGTGGGTGGTCCAGCGTGGCAGGGGTGTAGGGAGCCCGCATAAGGGAGCCAGGTCGTGGAGGTTCGTCAATGTTATTGTCCGACGTTGCTCTGCAGACAACACATAAGCATGCTAATTCTCAAGTAAGCAGGGTATGAATTTTAAAATCTTACTCCCCTATGTTTTGGAGGAAAAGGGAGTTTACTGCCTATCTCAGTGTGATACTGTATTGTAGACCACTGCAGATGACTCTTCCTCTTACCCACGTTGCAGTCATCTCCTTGCCAGGAAGGTGAGCACACACACTGGTACCCACGGCTGGTGGGGTCCACGACGCATTTCCCATCATGAAGACAAGGGTTAGCGGCACAGCTGTTAACTGCAAACACATTTCAGATATAATGCAGTTAATCACACAGGAAAGGTAAGGGCAGTGCTAAGTAAATATTTAATTCTCCCAGCTAATATTTGATTCTTGCTTATTTCTGTGTACTTGCCCTGAAAGGCCACACTATGCAAGAGAATGGGTTCTCAGAGGCGCAGAGGAGATGTATTGGGACTGGATGCTGACACTAGCTGTGTACACACACACGTGTTAGACAGTTGGATCCCGAAATGCAGGAGCTGGTTCAAATCCAAATACTGCTTACAAGTCCCTCGGCTCGGGAATGATGATTACATTGCCTTGGGATACTTAACAAATCCTACTTGAATCAATGCCAATTTAAAACACACGTTAAGGAGAAAATGATGCCTGATTAACCATCCTCCCTGCTCCAAGTTTTCTCTTTTCTAAAGGTCTCGCACTGTAACTGGGCCTCCACATAACGTGCCATCCTTCAGAACAACGCCTGCAGGTGAACACTACGACACCCTCTCTTTACGCGGTGTGACCGTGAGCCTGTCTCATTCATCCAGGCCCTGGCGATGCACGAGCTCCACTGAATTCTTGGACTCCCAGCTCCCAGGTGCAGTGACCACACTCTCTGTTTGGGTCTGTATAACTGGCCTTGTCGTGCTACAGTTGTACGATAACTGCCTAGGAAAGGTTTCTGACGCACATTTAGAAAAGCCAAAACTCATAAGAGAGGGAGAAAAATCATCTCCAGGGAGAAAAGTCAGTGGTAGAATGAGAAAGAGAAGGCAGAAGTCAAGAGTGCTTACTCCAGAATAACCCTGGAGACAAATGGGCTAAACCTGAAGATGGTGTCCCGGCTCCTCATGGCTACTTCATATCTACCTAAGACCACCTGCATGAGCATAGCACCCGTATGTACAAACACTGCACCCATGGACTCTGTCACAAAAGACATAGCAGCAGCCAGTAACAATGCTCCTAATACTCACCGACAGTTATCACTGCAATGGCTATAACTGGCTTTAAGGGACACTTGTGAATTATGTTCTACCTGGTATTGGAATATATTTGGCATCTGGAAATGAAGCCTGTGAGTCCTGAAGCAGGGATCCCAAACTTGCCAGAAGAAGGAGCCAGCTTCCATTTCCCAGCAAGGCTCGGACCCCTGGCACGAAGGGGGCACGGATGCATCAGGGCTCTGCGGGGCTGCGTGGGGTCCACGGCCCTCCAGCCACGAGCCAGATGATGGCTGCCTGGTTGGAACTCTGCTTCTAACTCCCTTCCCTTCTTCCCTCCTCCCTTCAGTTCCCATTTCACCCCTTCACCAACAGCAGGTTTCCTTTCCTGAGTCTGTACAACCTAAATATCCAGCAAAATTTGACCCTGACATCAAAGGAGGTATCGTCCTACTTCCTTCTACCTTTCCTTAAGTGATAAAGAATCATGTGGATGGTTTTATTTCCCCTGTCCCAGCAACTTCTACATGGATATAAAGATATATAACCTCAGATGCAATGTCACACAGTCACTATGGGAAAGGTTAGTTCATCATCCTCTCACTGAACACATCTCTCCACCCACATTTATCCACTGACATCATAATCTTAGGGAGACAAAGGAGCCTGGGCTCCCCTGGATCAAGAGAAGTTTCCCCGGTGACTGGGGGGCTGGCTGACTAGCTCAGAAGCTCGTGGCTCTGACCTGGGAGCAGGCACCTGCTCACTCTGGTCTCAGATAGGTCACCTAAAGCTTCTTGACTCCAGTTTTCCACCCTTCAATCCTGCTTCACTACCCCACTCTGGCTTTGCTAGAGTTAAAGCCATGCTTGAAAAGCTCTTCCAATTACGGGGCATTACAAGTTACGATGGCACTACTACTGATGTCACACATGGCCAACGGCATCCGCTCCTCTTTCTCCGGGAAGAATTCTGAAACTCAGGGGTGAGAAGACTGTCACCGTGACATTCCTTTGATTTAAGTGCTCCAACAGAAAGCATTTGAGATCACAAAGCAGACACTGTCCTATGGCGGATACCAGCCACCCCGAGCCCCCTGCAGCCTCAGTGTGCTTGTGCGATTGTGTCCTACCTGAGGCTGGAGATGACGGTGCTGTGGACGACTGCGTGCTGCTCTGAGCAGTGAGGGTGGTCGATGTAGATGTCAACACCTTAGCTGTAGAAACAGGTGTGCTTTGGGGGGAAGGAGATGTTCTGAGGAAATGTGAAGCCAGGCTGTGCTCTTCTGTAGGGGCAAGCCCCGTGGTCCATTCTTTTGCTGATGTGGGCGTACTGGTCAGGGCGATCGATCCGGTGGCAGCATCTCTATTCACTGGGTTCCTTTCTGTGGTGACAGCACCTTCTGTTGAGATGCGTACCACTAGAATTTCAGGACTGGTTGGCGGGAGCTGTTTTCCGGCCACTGTCTGTACTGTTGTAGGACCACCCGTCAGAGATGCTGTGCTTGATGGGGGTTGGGGGCTGGGCACACGGGGATGAGAGGTCTGGAGAGTGGTAGCTACCAAAGCTGGAGACGTCTGGGCTAAGCTGGTGCTGGTGGCTGGAAGGGTTTGCTCAGTGGAGGACTCCGTTAAGGCCAGGGGCAAAGGGATCCCCAGAGGAGACCTCACTGTTACAGTTTCCGTGGCCTCCACGGGCAGAGTCTCCAGGCTCTGTGGCTTTGATTCCGTAACGAGCTTCCCGAGGTGTGGGCTGCTCTGGTTCTTAGGATCTGCCGTTTGACTGCTGGGGAGCATTGCCACGGATGATGCCATTACCGACGTCCAGGCTGAAGTCACAGGAGTGTCCCTTGCCTTGGGCAGGACCAGGGTAGAAGATGAAGGTGGGAGGATTGTCTGTGAGACAGACGGCGAGACAGGGGCAGATGCTGTCAGGGATACTAGTGAGGGTGGTGGCGAGGAAGACAAAGGTGTGGGCACATCAGGGGCGGACTGCAGTGGGTGAGTGGAGGCCCTGGTCGATGGCAAGGTTGACGAGAACAACCGGTAGGACTGTGACACTGAGGGCTGGGGCAAGGGGGGCCCTGACGAAGAAGACGATGATGTATCGCCAACGGATTCAGCATCGGTGTCCAGAAGAACCAGAGTGGTCAGCATACTAACGGCGGGTGTGCGGGATGGAGGGCTGGCCGTGCGCAGAACTAGTGCCTCAGTGGAAGACTGAGCGTATTCCCCATCGTGGGAGGAGACGTTGCTTCTCTCTGCCTGAGCCTGAGAAGAGGAAGAAGAGTCTGAATGCAAAGAGCTTGAGATCTTAACGGAAGAGGTGGAACTCTCCCTTACGTCCAAGGATGAACTGTGGTCCGCAATGGACAGCAGTGCCCGTTCCCCTTTGGTGAAAGGAGCTGAAACGTAGGTGTGGTCTGTGTAGTCACTGGACGTCCCGTGTTCAGGGTGTGTGCCACTCACTGCATCGTAGCTCATTCCAGTGACTGCAAAGGGAAAAACCAAAGTGAGGTCAACTAAACAGACATCTGTGAACCTGCACTATGAGACAGACCTTCAGTGTCCCACCCATGAACGCCTGGGAGCTGACACACTTTCTCTGGATAGAGACAGTACGGGGAGGCAGGCAGGGTTTGAGTCTGCAGTGAGCGGACCTGCCCTCCTGTGAGGAGCACAGCGGCAGCAGGGGAAATGGTCATGAAAGAGAAGCGGGGCCAGGGGCCGAAGAATAGGGAACAGGTCCAAATTCCTTCCACAGGCCTTTTTTGATGAAAGCAAATCAGTATCTGAAAAGCTCTTAAGACCCCAAATAGAACAATTGTTATGCCTAAGTGGAAAAAGGAAAACCCTCCCAACTTTCCATTCTGTACAATGAGATATTTCTTTCCCAGGAGACTGGCCTAAGCCACAACATGGCCAGGTTTCTTTATTGCAAGCATCCTGCCAGACAGCACCGCAAATGCCCGGGGCAAGTGCTGGGGACGTGGGGGAACCCGGAAAGTCCTCTTCACAGGGAGCCGGTAAGGCACTTTCTGGGTTGACAGCGAACTCGATCACTCTAGGATCACGAGCAAATTGACACCTGAGCTGAGGGAACGCGGCAAGAGATCCTGCCCATTACCTCCGAGCACTCGCGAGGCTGCCAGTGAACCCGAGACCGCGTGGGCATCCCAGGTCGCCGTCACGTTCCCCCGCTGGGTGGGGCGCTCCGCGTCTCTGGGCGTTGCCGCCGAGCGCTCCACATCCCCAGGAGTCGTGCTGCCTTTGGTGAGAGATCGCAGCGTGCGCTCCCCGACTCCAGTGAAAGTAGCCCAGGTGTGCGGGCTGTGAGCGCGGGCTCCGGGCGCCCCCTCCTCCACTTCGGAACTGACGGCCAGCTCAGGACTGTCTTCGGTGGCTGCGAGAGGGCCAAAAAGGGGAGGGCCGGTCACTCCGGGGGGTAGAGCTGGGCTGTGTCAGCCAGACGCTTCCCTAGGCTTTCTCAGTGTTTTTATTTGAAACTGACAAGGTGAAAACCCAAACTGTGTGCTGTTCTTGCAAAGGCACCAGTGACTAAAACCTCAGGAAGCAGTGCGGGGGGTCAGTGTTGCTGTTCAGGTGGCTTGGATTTATGGGAAGGTTTATTACTTAGTGAACAGGATTGATACGGTATTTCTGCTCGGTGATACATAATAAATAGTGTTTATGTCAGGGAAATTGGTGGTGGCAGTGGGAGAGGTGAACAGTGGGCAAAAGACTAACAACCCTGCTGGGGCTTTAGACCCGACAAGGCCTGGGAGGGAGGCCAGTATCACCTGGAAGGTTTTTACCTCCTGGTAGGACCAGCGATACACGATCAACACAGAGCCTGTTGTTCTATACTGTCTGTCATTCTATAGTGTAGTTCTTCACCCTAGCACATCAGTGAGAAATGGCATTGTGGTCAGAGGTTACGGGTGGGCTTGGTTGTTTTTTTTTAACGTATAAGTTTTATTTCCTTGGTAGGGATAAAACAGGGACAGGTGACACATGAATAAGTATCCTTTTCCTCCTTTCTTGGGTATATGTTTTATGCTATAAACTTAAAGAATCTTAGATTATTATATTATCAAATAAATCCTTCTTTTCAGAAATGATGGAAATGAGGTCCAATTCTTCTTGGCGTACATATCTGGATCTAATGAGACAAACAGGCTCTTTTCTGATTCTTATTCTTATTCCCAGACCAGTCTAGCCCTTGACACCCCATGGACCAACCTTGGTGGAAAATGGATACAAAGCTGAGTGTAGGTTCTCTTCATGATAGGTTTGCATTAACTGACAGGAATGGGGACAGGGACACACAGTGACCTGGGGCAGCACTGAGAAAGCCAGGACCCAGTCACAGATGTGATCTGACCCAGGCAGCAGGACTTAAGAGACCCACAGAAAGTCCACCAGGAGAGGCTGGAGAGTTGACTGTACTCGAGCACAATCTCCCTGGCAAAGAGGACAGGGCTGGGACAGACGATGATGGTCGAGGCTCTGTTACACAAGACTTAAGCCAACAACCCTGTCAGGCTGACAGACTTAACACAGGGGAAAGTCATGCCCTGAAACAGAGGGGCTGCATCTGAACCCAGAAAAAGGAACGAACCAAGAACTCTGAAAGCTGGATGGCAGAATCGGTCAGCTGTGGGCTCTTCAGAGGAAAAGGGAGAAAGCATTATGTTAACCCAGAGCAAGGGGGCTTCAGGAATGAGCCTGTTCCTTATCTGGTGCTTTAGAACCGAACCCCAAGGTCCACTCACACTGAGATCACATTTTCCACACCAATCAACTGCGCCCTCACTGCAGAGTGCAGGGTACTGAAGAGGGAAAGGCTATGGGACATGAGCTCCTGGTCTGGGATGGCAAAAATTCAGAGTGCCACAGGGGTAGGGCGGAAAGGATTCCTTGTGTTTAGGAGACAGAGTGTGTGTTTTCCATTCACAGACATAAAAGAGCAAACAGCCTCCACCCATACATGTGGTATTCTTTACGATACAGCGTACGCTTTTCCACGTCACATCAGTAGTGATAAATGTTAATTTTCCTCATCAATTAGGGTACTCATAGGGGGGAAAAGAGCTGCTATCATGAGTGGTGGAGAGGTAAGAATTTAAATCTATTATAAGCTTAAATGATAAATTACTGCATTTTTGCTTTAGTCAGCATATAATTTACACTGATAAGGCTGTTGAGAATTGTTTTTAAATATTTTCCAAAAACATTATTAAAAAGGATCATCAAAGGAAAAGTTTTCGGGCTTCCCTGGTGGCACAGTGGTTGGGAGTCCGCCTGCTGATGCAGGGGACGCGCGGGTTTGTGCCCCGGTCCGGGAAGATCCCACATGCCGCGGAGCGGCTGGGCCCATGAGCCATGGCCGCTGGGCCTGCGCGTCCGGAGCCTGTGCTCCGCGACGGGAGAGGCCACGGCAGTGAGAGGCGCGCGTACCGCAAATAAAAAAAAAAAAAAAAAAAAAGGAAAAGTTTTCTCAATTGATAGATTGGACTTCATCAAAATTAAAAAATTTGTGCTGCAGATGCCAACATCAAGGAAGTGAAAAGACAACCCGCGGAACGGGAGAAAATGTCTGCACATCGCATCTCTGATAAAGGACGAGTATCCAGAATGTGCAAACAACTCTTACAGTGCAATTAAAGAAAGACAAATAACCCAATTAAAAAGCCGTCAACAGATCTGAACAGACTTTTCCAAAGAAGATATACAAATGGTCAATGAGCCCATGAAAAGATGCTCACCATCATTAGTCAGCTGGGAAAACTGCAAACCAACACCACTTGAGACACCACTTCACACCCACTAAGATGGCTAGAATCAAAAGAGCTGGACAATAACAAGTGGTGGTAAAGGTGTGAAGAAACTGGAACCTTCGTACTTTGCTGGTGGGAATATAAAACGGTGCAGTCACTCTGGAAAGCAGTGTGGCAGCTCCTCAAAGGTCAGAAATAGAGCCACCATATAACCTGGCAATTCCAAGAGCACACAAAAACTTGTACCTGAATGTTCACGACAGTACTATTCATAATAGCCAGAGGGTGGGAACAACCCACCCATCCAATAATGGATAAAAGCATAATCAAAATGTGGTCCATCCATGTGATGGAAGAGTACCTGGCTACACAAAGGAACGAAGCACTGACATGCTGCAATGTGGATGAACCTTGAAAACACGATGCTAAGTGAAAAATACAAAAGGCCACATACGGTACGATTCCACGTATAAGAAATGTCTAGAAGAGGCAAGTCCATAGAGACAAAAAGTAAATTAGTGGATGTCAGAGGCTGGGAATAGCGGAGCATGGGGAGAGACTGCTGATGAGCTCAGAGGTTTTTTGGGGTGATGAAAATGTTCTGGCATGACATAGTTGTGATGGTGGCCCAACTTCGTGAATATACTGAAACCCACTGAACTGTCCACTTTAAGGGGGTGAATTGTATAGAATGTGAATTATATCTCAATAAAGCAGCTTAAAAGGCGGTGAAAGAATTTCTCTCCATGAAAGCCCAGACCTGGGGTGAACAACCACTCACGAGAAGCTGATACTTTCACCTTCCAGAAGCTGTGTGACTGCGGCAGGCAGGGGGGTATGGCGGCGGGGGGGGGGGCGGGGGCGGGCGCTATATGGGGTGGAAGGACACGGCAGAGAAGTCCCCGAGCTGTGCGTGGGAGGGGCACGTGGCAACAGCAACATCTTGGAGATAGAACAGAAAAACTGGGGGATATACAGGGATATCGGTATCAACCAGCTAGAAGGATGGCCTGGGAATAATGAGGGGCCCACGGAGCTATTTCATTAATGCGGCAGAAGATCGCAGCCCAGGCACCCCTCCACCGTCCGCGGGGTGCGGTTCCGTGAACGGAGACTCACTGGAGCGCTCCCCGCGTGGTGCCGAGGAGCCCAGGCTTTCTGAGGAGGATGAAGACAAGGACTCGGTGGCCGGTTCGGAATAGCTCCTCTCACCAGGCGCTGGGTCACTTCCTCGAGACTGTGGGGCGGAGGCTGAAAACCGGGTCAAAACCGAAGCGTTCACAACCTCAGGATGGGAAGTGGAGCTTCCGGTCGCATCTGCGAATGGCTCGCTGTCGGTCAAGAACCAGCGAGCAGTGCTCTCTCCACCTCTTGCCAGTGGGACTGACCGAGACACAGTCGCTGTCTGAGACACGGAGCTGCCACTCCCCACACCAGAGCTGCTGGCGAGTTGGTGTCCTCTGGAGGCTGAAAGGTGTCAGAGAGAAAAGGCCATCACATGGATGGATGCAAGAGAGATCCCTCCACAGCCGAGACGCGAGTCTTCCCTAGGAGAAGGTGCCCTTTGCAAGGACCTTGTATAGTATTTACTATACGTGTAACCTGACGTGCATTTTCAGGTTCTAAATAATTATTTCAAAACTCTTCAGTGTCAGTAAGAGATCAATACTAAAAATAAAAACTGGTGAAGACGGGAGCTTTTAAACAGTATGTGCAAAGCAGAGTAAGGCCTGAGTGTTTTATTCTCTTTCCCCCCAAACATGGGGTGTTATGAGCCAGTGAGTATGCTGTTATGTCCATCAAATACAATGTGCCCAAATACTGTGCTTAGAGCATTTTTCTAAGACAGTTCTATTATTAATAAAACTAATTTTGGGGACTTCCCTGGTGGTCCAGCAGTTAAGACTCCGTGCTCCCAGTGCAGGGGGCCTGGGTTCCATCCCTGGTCAGGGAACTAGATCCCGCATGCCGCAACTAGAAAGCTCCTGCACACCACAACGAAGATCTCACATGCTGCAACTAAGACCCAGTGCAGCCAAATAACTAAATAGATTTACATTTTAAAAAAGATTATTCTAATTTTGAAGTATAGCAAACAAAAAATCAACTATAGGGGGTACACTAAAAGCATGAATTTAGGGGGTATGTTTATATCTGCACATTTTCTTTGTAAAGATGATCTGTACAGAAGATAACTGAAGCTAGCTTTACAGAGCGGGCCAGCTCTCAGTTTGAAGATGCTGCTGCAGAGTGACAAGATGCACCAGCAGTGGGACCTCAAGGCGGGGGTCTCAACTCTGTGGTGAGTGAGCTAAAGACCACGCACTCACTACTTAAACCCGATGAGCCTCAGTTTCCTCATCTACAAGAATGCAGGAGGAATGACGCCTATTTGACTAATTTCACAACATGTCATGAGGATGAAAATCAAAATGAGATAATGTGGTATACCAGATAAAGGAGATGGTGTTATCCAAGAACACAGTGGTTTTTTTTTTTAAAAGGTTGCAAATGGTCTTAAAGTGATTCCTTGAGAAAATGCAACGATTTTAAAATGTCCATAATAAATTAAATAAAGATCAAAGACTTACTTGGGGAATCATTTTGCCAAAATTCCCATGAGACCTTGGAGGACGTAAGGCCAGCTCCATTTTCTGTGGATGGCTTAGTGAGTTCCCCATCCCCTGGGCTCCTGATTACTCCACTGTTTCTTCTCCACCCTGCCTCAGAGTGTGAAGAATGGACTGATGCTGAAGTTGTGGTCATTTCAGAGTCCTCAGGGAAACGCTCTGTCTCATTTAGAGGTCCTGGACTGATGGCTAAAGACTGGAGCACCTTTAGGACACCGTCGGGGAACATGGTAGCAACATGGACACTCTTTGTCCCACTGACCGAGGGGCTGTGGACAGCAGTAGAGTTGTTTAAATCCTCCGTACTTCCAGAAGCTAAAATGGAAGAAAATATGCTTCAAGATTAGTTGGGGTGTATCTGGATACAAATGATGTTAATTACATTTCGGTAGATGAATATAGATAAGGTGGATCTAATAGATAAACACACATAACACACTCACCCGCCCTCTCCTCACAGAGCTAAGTGGAGAAGCATGAGGTTCTTCACCGAGCACAATAAAAGCTTCAGATCAAGCTAAGAGGAAGACAGGAGAAAGCCTCTAGACATGATTTTCATTTGTCTTTATAGAGGAAGCTAAAAACTTCTGCTCTTGAATCCCACTTTATTACTTACACAGGACAGACCATTGTAACAAGGTGCAGGATTTGTTTTCCTTTGTTTCAGCAGTGTAACCCTTTTGTTCAAATGCTATTATAGATTAAAACCCACACATATGGGCTCCCCTGGTGGCACAGTGGTTGAGAATCCGCCTGCCAATGCAGGGGACACGGGTTCGAGCCCTGGTCCAGGAAGATCCCACATGCTGCGGAGCAACTAAGGCCGTGCGCCACAACTACTGAGCCTGCGCTCTAGAGCCCGCGAGCCACAACTACTGAGCCCGCATGCCATGACTACTGAAGCCTGCGTGCCTAGAGCCCGTGTTCTGCAACAAAAGAAGCCACCGCAATGAGAAGGCTGCACACTGCAACGAAGGGTAGCCCCCGCTCGTTGCAACTGAGAAAGCCCACAGCAAGAAGACCCAATGCAGTCAAACATAAATAAATAAAATAAATTAAAAAAAAAAACCCATACATAAAAATGAATCAAAGTGGGTGCCTTGCAGGGGGCCCAGTCACCACTCAGGAGGCCTAGGGCTCTGCAGACCACAGTCAGAACAATGCTGGCCTAGAAGAGTAATTCCCAGCCTTGCCACCATCAAGTGTTCTTTATTATTCCCCACCTCATGGCCATAGTAAACCTTATGTTTTGAAAGACTATGAACCGAGCTGCATTTATTAAGTAACAGAGCTTCTAATCAGCAGGAGATACTGATTGTTACCCCACTGATTTGATTTAATTCCATCCAAAAGCAACAGGCTGCTGGTCAGGTCATGAGGCTTGGGAGACCAGCTCTCGAGCTCACATACTACTCCAGGAGGCCAAGGACTCCAGGTCGAGAACAGCTTTTCTGATGAAATGGATGGGAGACACTGGATCAATCGTCAAGAACCTCAAGAACTGAATTATACACCACTGGTCAAAATCTGCAGAGTGCTCTGCAGAAGTACCGTGGCTTGCTGGTGGTTCCCTTCCACAAAGAACTCTCCAAAGGACACCCTGAGAAATGACCTCCAGAAGGGCACATTGAAATCTTCATTCCAAACAGGAATGAACTGAAGGAAAGCTTGCTGAGTGGGCAAGATCCAAAGGTAAGAAGGAAGAGTGCTTTTTGCTCTTTTTAAGCCAAAATTTTAAAAAAGTACTCTCTATACCTATATAATGAAAGGCTTCAAATTGTTAATTATGAAAAAAGGAAGGAAGAAAGGAAGTTCTCATTATAAACGGGTCCCTGAAGATGAGTCCAATGTGCAGTCATGACCAAAAGCACAAATAAATATCAAATATATACATATAGGGAGAGCACAGGCAACAGAAAGGTTCCTTTCACTTTTGTACAAAACCATAAAACCAGGTATACCTAATACATAGGCCACAGGTCTGGTCACTGGACCTTCGTGGAGACAAGAAAGATGCAGGCAATCCATAAAACTAGTAATTAAAACATGGGAGGGGCTTCCCTGGTGGCGCAGTGGTTGAGAGTCCGCCTGCCGATGCAGGGGACGCGGGTTCGTGCCCCGGTCCGGGAAGATCCCACATGCCGCGGAGCGGCTGGGCCCGTGAGCCATGGCCGCTGAGCCTGCGTGTCCGGAGCCTGTGCTCCACAACGGGAGAGGCCACAACAGTGACAGGCCCGCGTACCGCAAAAAAAACAAATGGACCTGGGGTTTTTGAGCACAAGCCACCCATTCTCCTTGCTTGACCCTGCGATAAACCTTTCTCTGCTCCAAACAAACAAACAAACAAAAAAGGTTCAGTATAAGAAAAGGAAAGCACAACACAGACATGCCCTAAATCCTCACTCGCCCACTTAGCTTCTCAGGCCTAACTTCATTAGAGCCACCATCTATATCCACCAGTTACAGCCTCATCAGATTGCTGAGTGCTCTTTCAAAACACTTTTATTTCCAGTAAATTGCATTATTTCATGAATTCAATGCACAGTGAGGTTTTATTGGACTCAGCATGAATACCTGTCCAGCAAAGCAATGGCCTCAGAAATACAATTGTAAAAGTTACAACTGCTGGAAGTCACAAAAGGAAAATGGCTAGGGTTTCCCTGACCCTGAGGGCTCTGTGGAACACTGCTTCACCATCTCATTCTCATCAGTATTAAAAGCTCTGCCTTTTACTAACCAATTACGATGTGCCACTACTTCATGTACACCTCCATATACTGTGCTACGTAAGTACTTTATATCTATAATCTTGTTCCATCCTCACAGTAAAGCTATGAAGCAGTGTGCATACTTCTGTAGAGCTGGTGCTTCTTAATAAGAGGAGAAAATGCTTGGTCAAACTAACCTACAGTCACCACTTATGTTACTAAATGAGCGCCTGCTAAATACATCTCGGGTGAAATGTACCACGTTTCTAATCAGCAGACCAGCACTATTGATTATTTAATAATTGCCTTTCCTTGCTCATTTTCTACCCTTGAAGCAGCCATTCAAAAATGTGAAGCCCATCCATTTGCGAGCAGAAAAAAACCTAAATTCCCTAATCTTTATAATAGGAGGTGAAAGGAACGCCTGCTCCTCTGAGAACACTATATGGGTCACTTTCCCATCACAATACAACATACTGGAGCCTCAGGCACGCATCACTGGCTCACCCCTGGCTTGGCTGCTATCCAGAACTTGCCAAAAATCTGGCAGGAGCGGCTGATATTTGGGAAAGATAGGCTAAAGCTACAACCTTCTGAGTTATTTATATCCTCTGCCTTTACAAAGTGAAATCACCACAAAGCAATTTACCTGGACCACATTAGCTCAGCTACCCACAGAAACACTTCCATGAGTTGAGATCCATTATTACACCCTCAGCTCCTATTGAGAATCGACAGAAAATATCAACTTTTAAAGAACATCAGCACAGTGTCCACAAAACAGCAATTGAAGGCACTTTCTGTTATGAGCCTCAACATTCCTCACATAAACATTCCTCTTAGAATGTACTGCCCCCAAAACACTGAAGCCTATGGGTGAAATGGTATACTCACTTTATCTGACAATAATAGCATGCCTCACCCGGTTTCCCTTTGTGCCCTGGCTTCCAGGAAGCTCAGTACTAAATTCAGTGCTCAATTGTAGCCATGTTCACATAATTCAACATACACATATCTCTTTTTGCCTTTAAAAGAGAACTTTTTCCCCTATTAGTTGCTTTGCTTACTTTTCCCCGATTATCAAACAGTACATGGTCATTATAGAAAATATAAAAAGTACAGAAGGAAAAAAAGCAACAAAAGATCTAAAGCAGCAAAGCAAAATGATTTCAAACAGCTTCCGATCTCTTTTTTTAAAATCTGAGTTAGCTGTCTGGGCTTTTACCTGCTTTAACGCATACATTTATTAGCACGCAATTTATTTTTGGAAGCAGGTAACCCCTGACTACCTGAGCCTCAGAAGAGGTTGTGCTGTGTGTATGTTCCTATGTAGCAGAATGCGAAGTGAAAGGAGTCACCGAATACAAAGGCTGATGTGTTTGGAATAACAGATGCTGGAACTAGAAAGGATCTTTAGGATCAACGGATCTAATCCCTTCATGTTTCAAATAAGGACTCCCATCCTCCCCAGGCCAGGCTCCTGGCTGGAATCCTAGCGCTCACCTAGTGAAAAGCATCGCTCATCTGACTGGTCCAAGTGCCACGACTTTCACTGGGTCACGTTTACTAGTGGACAGAGCAGCCAAGTGTCACAAAGCGCACGCCCCTACCCCATTCCCTCTTGGCTTCGATTCCCTACAGAGAGGCCAGTTGGGCTGGGTGACTCCCGGTCTGCCCCGGGCAAGTCCTGCTGGCTTTCTCAGCACTCCTGCCTGCATGCCTAGTGCTCCTAGATCCTGTGCTCAGAAAATCTAAATCTCAAGATTTGGATTTTAGAGGAGGTAGGAAGTACACCGGAGCTCTGGTTAGCAGGGTAGCAGGGACCAGCCCAGCATTAAAAATAAAGCAGAGCTTCATTTCCCATGTGGCTTCGGATCCTCGTTCATGTCCCCTCTGCATCCCTGCGGGGAGGAGAGCAGGGGCTGTCAGGCTAGATCCAGACAGTCCTGGATGCCTGGGTAACCCTTCATTTAACAGCACACAAAGCCCCCTCCAGTATCTAAGAGGGAGGTGGGACCCTACCTAGCACAGAACATCCAGTTCACTAAGAAGAAATAGAAATGCCCAGTGAAACTCAAGGAAGAGGAACGATATGGTAGAACTCTTCAAAAATTAAAAGTATAAGGTTCTAAAAGAATGAATGCTCAAGGAATTGGAGGGCTAATTATTTTTTTAATGTTAAAAAGTACAGGTGACTACAGAGTCAAGGCCAGTAGCTGGAAACATAGGCTGATTTTCAAATATACCACAGTATATATACCACAGTAGTGGGTTGAATTTAAAGTATAAATATTAAATGACCCTGACCAGAATCAAGTTTAGCTTCCTTTCCACCATTTCATAAAGCTGGTTGTAAACCACTGAACCACAGAACTTTGAAGCTGGAAAGGATCGTAGCTTTTATCCTATCTAACCAATGTTTAAGAATAATCTTAAAAACCAATCTCCTAAAAATATGAATCATAAATTACATATATACCCAGTCAGCAGGAAACTGTATACAGAGTATATGGAAGGGGAATGGGCTGCTTTAAATAGGCATTCCAGAAAGGGCCTCTGGGTTCTGTTTTTGCTTTGATGACATAAACCTGAAACCCTAGTCTTGGAAAGTACTTCTAAAAACCTCTGACCTATGAAAATTTTGAAATGGCAATTTCTGAAGCCACCTATTTCCCAAGAATATTTCCAACCCTCTCTGTCCTGCTCCCTATGGCATGGAGATGAAAACACAAGAAGCACGCACAGGCTCGGTATAAAACCTTGGAAAAGAGAAACAGTGGGCAGAGTTTCCAACATCGGCCTGTGGCTGGATGACCCCTGTGATATTTAGGTACATGCTCATCCCCTTACTCATCAACTGTACCTCACTGTGGGGCAGGGGAACCTAACTAAGAGAAGTAATAAACACAATCTGTGTCTTCAAGCGGATTACAGGCTATCTGGGTAGAAGGCATCAGATAAGCTGGTGTGACAAGGTACATGGCACAGAGGCTCAGAGGGTTGACAAAAGGCTCAGTGGAGATGGAAGGCCTGCACAGACACATAACTGATGACTAGGGGTTGGAATGCAGAGAGGCCAGCGCTCCACTGCTGCAGTCTTGCAAACACCTGCCTGTATAGTTTTTTTGAAATGATGCCCAGAAAAATGTCTATCTATGTTATCTTTGCCATTGAAAGAAACATTTTTGCAATAATGAAGAAATACAAATATAACTCCTCATCAAGTGAAACAATGTTCACCATTTCATTCACCCCAGAACAGTGGCCCCTTGTGCAAGACCACACACCAGCTGCACTGAGTCTTTGTTACGCGTATATGTGTGGGGAGACGGGAAAAGCAGGGGTTGGTGCACGGAAAGGCCTAGAGCAGCCACCAGACCAACTATTATTTTCCTCCTTATACAGTTAAAGAAAATACATTTTAGACATGAACTTCAACACTGAGATAAATTGGGCAGGTTGTACTTTGAACCAATACTTTGCATTGGTGCTTAAAGTCCTTTCCCCTCAGCCCCTGTGATGAGCATGTAACTAGCTGGCTATCCGGGGCTATTTATTTCTATTCTGAATGACTTCAGAGGGTGCAGCTGGGATAGCAGTACTCACATGCGGACTGGTCTGAGGGAGGGAAGTGAGCCAGTGTCCTGGAAAGAGGCAGCCAGGAGAGCTCTGGTCCTGAGGAATTTCTCTGCCTGGGGAGTGTGGTCTCTTCTCCCCCCTCCACAGCAGGAAGAGAAGACTGGGTCAAAACTGAAGTGGCAGCCACCTGGGTGTGCACAGTCACTTCTTCAGGGAGCCCCTGCCCCCTTGCCGGGGAACCCCAGGATGTTCCGCTTTCCGTGTGAGGAGGGGCGGTTCTTCCTTCTGACCCTGAACTGCTGGACGGCGGGCGATGCCTTCCCAAGGCTGAAAGCAGACAGCAACAATTAAAATTCCACCAGCGGACTTCCAAATGTCTGAACAATCTTTGAGTGGGCTCACCTCTGACCTCTATAAAATAGACACGAGAAGAAATTAGGAGCCATTGTTCATTCTATGAAAAATCACCTCCTGAAGGAGAGACCACAAACCAAGACAAAGACTGTTTTCAGATCTCACAAACAAAGATTCTGCATTTTGCGGTAAAATTATCAGCAGAGGTGCACAACGAAGCTAAGTATCAGACGATAAAGAACCAGAGGTGGGCTTCTGATCCTCGTGACTCATCACTCACATTCCACAGAGTTGGTCCCAGAATTCACTTGAATTTAACATAAACAAAATGTCCACTATCTGGATGACCAGCAAACCCAGGCTGCGTCACGGGCCGTTTCTAAGCTCTATATCCATCATTCACGAATGGAACTTTAAATACTGTCCTAGGTACTCTTTACAGAATTGAGTCCCCCAACCAGACCTCCCATCACTAGGGTGTGAAACCATGGGGTCATCTTTGATGGCTTCAGCCTCTACTTTTAGGCCATCACATCACCAAGCTGTACCGATTTTATCAAGCCTTCACCAATCCCTTCCTCTCCATCCCTGAGGCCAGCAGGCCACATGTTAGCACCTGGTATCTGGATTTCTGTGTCTGCCTGGGTGGTCCCCTGGACTCCAGGTTCCTTCTGCCCCATCTCTCACCCCAGACATCTTACACCCACGTGCCAAGTGAACCCTGCCCAAATTCACTTTAATCATGTCACTGCCTGTTCGAAAACCTCCAGTGACTTTTCCCACCACACCAAATCAGAACTGCTTGGTTTTCAAAGTCCTCAGTAATTGTGCCTAACCCCACGCACAGGACTGTCCTACCCGCAGCTCCTCTCCTCTGTGTGTGACTTATGCCCACCCCGAGGGAGGCTGCTGGCCTTGCCACCCACGAAGAGGCCACACTTCTCTTCCTTCCTCTGTATCTTTGCTCATGTGGTCCAGGCATCCCACTCCTCAGCCACCCTTCCCACCAATACAGGCTTAGGCACAAATCTCAGCTCCGAAACCTGTTAACTGTTTGACCTGCACACGTTGGATTGATTAATTTCTCTAGCTTCAGTTTCCGAATTCCTAAAATGAGAGTAACGTGACCTCACCACTGGCTGTGAGAATTGAGAGACATGTTGGTACAGCGTAGGTACTAGCTGGTGCCAGCTTTCTTTGTCTTCCTTTCCTCAATCAAATCCTGCTCGTCCAGCCCCAGCCCCTTCTTGAAATCCTTTGCTAAAAACGGCAAACCACAGAGCTGTGCAGACCACAGCGAGAACAGCCATCTGAGCTACGTCAACACGAACACGCAGCCAAGCAGCCCACCAGACCCGGTACCTGGGAGACTGCAGCGTGTGGCGGGACTGCCGCTGTTGTGTGGATTCAGCCTGGCCGTGGAATGTAGATTCCATGGCACTGGTCAGGCCACTCAGCAAAACTGCACCCTCACCTGGTCTAGGCTTACAACTCAGTGAACCACAGGGAGCCCCAGGTGGAGCCTGAGGCACAGGTCTGGTTCACCCTGGCCCAGGACCCGTGGCTGAGCACTGCGGCTCAGGATGGGGGAAGGCAGAGACCAGCAGACATTAGGTTTTCCAGGACTGGACATACATGCGTGACATGAGTGTCGTCGGCCTAAACTCACCTAAGGTGCTGCTCTGGGAAGTCAGAGCGGCTGCTCTCTCAGGCCCAACAGGGGAAAGGGTGACATCTGTCCTCCTTGAAGAGTCACTTCTTCCTGTAGCTGCTGTTTCAGTTTGTGGAGGGAAGTTTCCTGGAGCATCTGAAGAAGCGTGGCTCTTCCTGGGGGTCTGAACCATCACATCCTCTTTGGAGACCACTGTTGAAAAGTCCACTTGATTCTGATCAAAGGTAATATTTTCTGTGTGGGGTTGTTCAGTGTTGCTTTCTAGCCAGTGGTTTTTTACAGCAGCTGAAACAATAGGAAAATGGATCAGTGAGGACTTGTTGGCTTCTGAAAAGAGAAGTAAACCTTCAGAAAAGGTATATGAGCAGATATATCAGGAGAAGTGGATTCAACGAGAATGATCTCACCTTTCTTTTTTCCAACAGTAATTATTCTTGCAATCCAGGGGAAGAAATTATGAAGCAACAATACCATATAGGGTTAAATTTTATAACAAGTGGAATAAGTGATGAAAATTGATAGAAAGAGACCAATTTGAAGTTGTTGCTGATCACATGGGTCCTTGAAAAAACCCATTTTTATTTTCCCATTTGGGAATGATATTTTTCTTTCTGCTGACGATCGGGGGCTGTTGAGAAAGCTCTGCAGGGATGAATGAAGTCACTTCTATCTATACGAGTCAGGCAAAAATGTCCAACCATCGGACCAGTAAAGCCTGCAGGCAGAACCTACAGTTCAACTCAAAATATCATACGCACATGGGTGCACACACACACACACACAATCCCAAAGGAGCAAGTTATCTTCTAGATCAGCCCTGTCCAAGAGATGTATAAAGTAAGCCACAAATGCAAGCCACATCGGTAACTTTAAATTCTGTAGTAGCCGCAGTTTTAAAAGTAAAAAGAAACGGGTGAAATTAACTTTAATAAATATTTTATTTACTCCAACATACTCAAAATGGTACTTCAATATGTAATTGATATAAAAATTACTGAGATATTTTGCATTCTTTTTTTAGTATTAAATCTTTAAAATCCAGAGAGTATTTTGCTGGCCACACTTCAAGAGCAGGCTAGACACATGTGGCTAGCGGCTGCTATATGGACAGTGCAATTCTAGAGCAATGGTTCTCAACACTGTCCCCACGCTGGTCCACTCCAACCTGAAGCAGTGGCTCACTTACTGGAGTTGGAGGGGTGGTGATTATAAATTCTTCCGTAAAGAGATTCTGACACCCTTTCCTAAGGGAATCATTTCCTCCCCGAGCCCCTTGAGAATTACTGTTTTCATGCTTCCTATTCTTTTTCCTGTAAGTGATAATTAACAGAAGCTTCCTAAGGAGGAGGGAGCTTCCTAGGCATCTGGACTCCTCTGGGGCCCAGGCCCAGACAGGCAAGGTCCACAATCAGCTAGAAATGGGATGTGGAGGGGTGTTTCTGGGGCAGCCACCAAGTCCACAAGTTCAACTTGGGACTCTGGGGTTATGGACACATGTAACCTTTGTTCTTCCTCTCTGAGCTGCAAAGGCAAGCTGGCCTCCAAAAGAGGAAGGGAAAGGATTTGAGGATGCCTTCCCTACCCTCTTGGTCAACTTGGCACAATGAGAGAAGTTATTCTCAAAAGAAGCCAGAAAAAAAGTGATTGTGGGGAGGCAGAAGGGACTTAAAACCCATGCTCCAAAACTGGTAAGCCGTGAGCAAAGGGAAGGAACTGTATTTAGCTCTATTACAGCCTCAAGATGAGTGTGAGACTTGGCCAATGGTGAGCGTGGCTGGGCCTCTGGAAGCAGCCACGTCCCCTTCTTCAGGGAACAAAGGATGGATATCCCAAGATCTAGTCAGCTCAAGGAATTCTAGTCTTCAAAAGGAAAAGAGTGGCCACATGAAGACAGGACATGGTTAGCCCTGAACCATGTTGTCTCCCTGGAGGGTTGACTAAAAATGGAAGGCAGGAAAAATGCACTCTATAAACAAAACTAAAAGGTAGACAATAGTCCTGCAGTATCCTGAATAACCCTGCACTAACAACAACTAAAAATGCTGAATAAAATGTTTTTTTTTTTTTTAAAAAAAAATACTTCTAAATGCATTGCTGAGTTGGCACACAAATCTTGTGAGGTCAAAAATGAACTGAGAGTTCGAATTCCGAGAGTTGAGCTAACTCTGAAGCTGGCAGCTGCCCTGGGGCACCTGCTCAATATTTGTGACCTTGAACTTCTGTTCTGATGGCCACAGGGATGCAGGAGATAAGAGACAAAATTCTTAAGGAGGGAGTCTGAGAGGAAACTCCTATATGAAGTTAGGACCAGGGCTATACCTTGGATGTAAGGCAAATAGAAACAAACCTTCCCTGCAGAAGAGGACAGCAAGGGAATCTGGAAAAATAACTCTCACTCAAGGATTTATAACCATAAAGCTAGCCCTCACATCAGGGTGCAGCACAAAGTCACAATACCTGTGTGGTCTAAACCTCAAGCCAAGGGTGTGTTTAAAAGTGGTCCTATAGAGATTACCATACTAAGTGAAGTAAGTCAGACAGAGAAAGACAAATATCATATGATATCACTCATATGTGGAATCTAATCTTTTTTTTTTGTCATGCCTCACAGCATGTGGGATCTTAGTTCCCTGACCAGGGATCGAACCTGCCTGCGCTGCATTGGAAGTGCAGAGTCTTAACCACTGGATCGCCAGGGAAGTCCTAGAATCTAATTTTTTAAAAATAATACAAATGTACTTATTTACAAAACAAACAGTCTTACAGATATCGAAAACAAACTTATGGTTGTCAAAGGGGAAATGTATGGGGGAGGGATAAATCAGGAGCTTGGGATGAACATACACACACTACTATGTATAAGATAGGGAACCAACAAGGACAACTGTATAGCACAGGGAACTCAACCCAATATTCTGTGATAACCTATAAGAGAAAAGAATCTAAAAAAGAATGAATATATCTATATGTATAACTGAATCACTTTGCTGTACACCTGAAATTAACAACACTGTAAATCAAGTATACCCCAATAAAATTAAAATTTCTAAAACAGTAGTCCTGAACCTTGTGAATACACTAAAAACGAGTGAACTATATACAGGCATACCTCATTTTATTGTGCCTCACAGATACTGCATCTTTTACAAATTCAAAGTTGTGGTAACCCTGTATCAAGCAAGTCTATTGGTACCAACAGCATTATTGTTAACTGAGATACGTACACTGTATCTTTTAGACATAATGCTATTGCATACTTAACATACTACAGTATGGTTTAAACATAACTTTTTTTTTTTTTTTTTTTGCGGTACGTGGGCCTCTCACCACCATGGCCCCTCCCGCCGCAGAGCATAGACTCCGGACGAGCAGGCTTAGCGGCCATGGCCCACGGGCCCAGCCACTCCGCGGCACGTGGGATCCTCCCAGGCCGGGGCACGAACCCGCGTCCCCGCATCAGCAGGTGGACTCTCAACCACTGCGCCACCAGGGAAGCCCTGAACATAACTTTTACATGCACTAGGAAACCAAACATTTCATGTGACTTGCTTTATTGTGATATTCGCTTTATTGCAGTGGTCTGGAATTGAACCCACAATATCTCGGAGGTATGCCTGTACTTTAAAAGGCTGAATTTTATGGTATATAAATTATATCTCAAAACACACACACACACACACACACACACACACACACACACACACACACACACACACGCATATTCTGTTACTGGGGAGGAAAAGTGGTCCTGATATACAGTGCCTCTGGGTACTTGGCAGAAACAAATGTGAATTCTCTCTAGATAAACATACCTTTAATCCAATTTTATTATTTACTGACAAAATCCTAGGGAATAAGAGATAACAGTAAAAAAAAAAAATCACAAAATAAACATGAAAAAGGCATCTGTAGGCAAAAGTCAGCAAACTAGACAAGCAAAGACTTCAACTACTAGAATTATCAGACAAAGAATGTAAGTAAATAAAACTCCATGAAAAGAGATAAGAAGAAATTGAAAATGAGAGAAAAAGAGACTATACATAATGGCCAAAATATATGAAAGAAATCTGAATGGAAATTCTAGAATTGAAAAAATAATAATAATTAAAATTAGGAAACTTAACAGATTAGATACGGCTGAAAAGGGAATTAAGAATTACAAGACAGATGACAAGAGAATGCTGAGATGATATGAAAATACAGAAACTATGAAAAAGAGGTGAAGAGACAAGGAAGATAGAGTAAGAAAGTCCAACATATATCTAATTGGAGTTCTAGGAGAGGAAATGAGAAAAAGGAGAAACGGCTATATTCAAAAAGGTAATGGCGGACTTCCCTGGTGGTGCAGTGGCTAAGAATCCGCCTGCCAATGCAGGGCACATGGGTTCAAGCCCTGGTCCAGGAAGATCCCACGTGCCGCAGAGCAACTAAGCCCGTGCGCCACAACTACTGAGTCTGTACTCTAGACCCCACGAGCCACAACTACTGAAGCCTGCAAGCCACAACTACTGAGCCTGCGTACCACAACTACTGAAGCCCACGTGCCTAGAGCCCGTGCTCCGCAACAAGAGAAGCCACCACAATGGGAAGCCCGAGCACCGCAACGAAGAGTAGCCCCCTGCTCGCCACAACTAAAGTCCACACGCAGCAATGAAGACCCAACACAGCCAAAAATAAATTAAATTAAATTTTAAAAAAAAGGAAGAAAACAAGACAGCAAATCCTGGATAACAATAGCACATAAGTTGGAAGGGGATGATCAGAATCATGTTGTATTGGAGAAGGTAACTTTAAGCTGTGTCAAAAATGCACTTTAAAGTTCCTCAAGCTGACCCTAAAGAATAAAAGTGGTAGAGCTTGGAGGGCTTCCCTGGTGGCGCAGTGGTTGGGAGTCCGCCCGCCGATGCGGGGGGCGCGGGTTCGTGCCCCGGTCCGGGAGGATCCCGCGTGCCGCGGAGCGGCTGGGCCCGTGGGCCGTGGCCGCTGGGCCTGCGCGTCTGGAGCCTGTGCTCCGCGGCGGGGGAGGCCACAGCAGTGAGAGGCCCGCATACCACAACAACAAAAAAAAAAAAAAAAGAAAATAAAAAAAAAAAAAAGTGGTAGAGCTTGGAATGATATAAAATTTCCACTGAGAGAAATCAATGAACATTGCCTAAAACCAAAACCAAAAAAAAACAATAAACAGTAACATAAGCATGTGATTTAGAGATATGGACATAATTCCTAAAAGAATAGTTGAAAGGGCTGAAAGTGGGAAGCAGAAAATGACAATGGTAGGAGTGGTC